TCTCTTTAAAAGTTTTAAAACAATGGCAGTAGACATTTTAGTCTGGCTCCGTAGCCACTTTCCTATAGCATCTACCAGTTAATCCACGACCCTGTTTATACTCTATTACTCTGTACGTGTGTGATCCAGTGACGTGTCTCCCTCAAGTCCAGGTCATGTAACGCTGTTGTGTACAAGTCATGACCACAGTATGACCAGGCAAGTTATATTACGTCTATGTCATGCGGTGCTAGTGACACACACACTTTAGAAATTGGCAACAGGTAACCATTACATTTGTACTACTGGTTTATTTGTGACCTGTTTCAGTTCTTCCAACCTCTCCCACCTACAACCCCTACCACAAATGACCCCATGTCATATGTGGAGGTTGGATTATTACTCGACACTTTTCTGCGTCAATAATGTCACTTGGCAGTTTGTTCCACACATCCCCTAGCCATTTTCAACCCCGTTTTCATGCCATTTAAAAACTACACTTTTATATTTTAATTCGATATTTCGAGTTGTATATAAGAATGTGGAGAGGGAGGGACCTGCTGCATGGGTAACAGCTTCTCCCCCGTATCAACCTACCCTGGCTTTGCGCCCTGAAGAGCCCAATCAGTCCGACTACCAGAGCGCAACTCCACAGTCTCCCGAGACCGATGGATGCCTACTATATTATATATATATATATAATATATATATATATATATTATATATATATATATATATATATATATATATATATATATATGTCGTACCTAGTAGCCAGAATGCACTTCTCGGCCTACTATGCAAGGCCCGATTTGCCTAATAAGCCAAGTTTTCCGGAATTATTATATTTTCTCTAATTTTTTTCTTATGAAATGATAAAGCTACCCATTTCATTATGTATGAGGTCAATTTTTTTTATTGGAGTTAAAATTAACGTAGATATATGACCGAACCTAACCAACCCTACCTAACCTATCTTTATAGGTTAGGTTAGGTAGCCGAAAAAGTTTGGTTAGGTAGGGTAGGTAGTCGACAAACAATTAATTCATGAAAACTTGGCTTATTAGGCAAATCGGGCCTTGCATAGTAGGCCGAGAAGTGCGTTCTGGCTACTAGGTACGACATACTAGGTACCTAGGTACGACATCCCATGGGATGGGATTTATGGGTCCCCCTTCTTCCAGCCAGAGGTGGTACTCCCCCTATATATATATATATTAGTATATTTTAGTAGCAGTCTTTCTGTAGACATTAAATATGACCGAAAAAGTAAGATTAATAATTCTAACACGAATTTCTCGATCTTTCTTACGTTTCTTTTTACGTAAAAAGAAACGTAAGAAAGATCGAGAAAATTCGTGTTAGAAATTATTAATCTTACTTTTTCGGTCATATTTAATAATATTATATATATATATATATAATATATATATATATTATATATAATATATATATATATATATATATATTATTATATATATATATATATATATATATATATATATATATGTATATATATATTATTATATAATATATATATATATAATATATACTATATAATAATATAATATATATATATATATATATATATATAATATATATATATATAATATATATATATATATATATATATATATATATATATATATATATATATATATATATATATATATATATGAATGAATGAATGCCACACATGTTCTATTGCCAATGCTCTACTGGTAGAGCTCCGTCAACCAAGCAGCCCATCGGCACGAGATAAATATGGCCCGGGCTGGTGACCGGGTTAGTTCTCATACACTACCATACGTAAGCTCCTCGGCTGCCTCAACCTCCCCCACCCTAACTCACACCCCGCTCTTTTCACAACTACCACCCCCCTTTACAACAACAACCACCATCACAAACCACCCTAACCATTACAGCCACCACCTCCACTAAAGTAACTTCCCTAATCACCATACCGCAATCACAACGACGCTAACCACCACCACTAACCAATCACCAGTTGTAAACTACCACAGCACAAAGCACTCCCCAGTAATGCAACTCGCATTATATATATATCACAGTTCCTGTCCCTCTGGCCGCTGCATGTTTGATTATTTTAATCAGAGCCACAGTATTTTTGCTATGATACCGCGCCTCATTATAAATATCACAGAAAACGGGATGTGTTGCTCAAAACTCACAATTACAAAAAAAAAAGTGAAAATATAACAATTAGTGAAAGGAACTACTCGACCGGCCATGGGATAACGGGATTAAAATAAAATCATAATGGGGATGATGATAAATGTGTGACAAGGGGGAAAATAGAATAGCGACACAACACATTAGAGTAGTTAGGCTATTTCTACCCTCCAAATACAGTCTGGTCACAAGCGAAAGGTCTTGGGTGCGATTCCCGGGGGTAGAACAAAAGCGCCTGACTCACCGATGCCCGTGATTACAAGGTAAATAGGTGCCCGGGAGACATGCAGGAGTTGTGGGTTGCATTCTGGGGAAATTTGGAAATCGACGTACGGGGACCTCGTTGAGCTGGGAACAGGTTTCCTGTTCCCAACTACGTGAAACTATATGCACGGATTGTCCAATACACATAAGAAATCGTAAAATGACCTCAAGTGGAGTATTGTCGAGGACACCACATGATATACAAACCAGTGTATTCTGCACAGAAGCCGACATAAAAATTTCTACCAGCCACTGTATATATTACTAGGTACTAACCAATGCTAATACTACTACTATTGATGATGCGACACCCCAGACGCCCGGGCGAAACTAGGAAGCAATGCTCAGACAAGGGTGAAGACAGGAAGCCACGACCATCATTTAGGACGAACCTAACCAACATGATTACCTGAGACGAAATCGATGGAGGGGCAAGCATACACCAAAGTCGACCAGGCGCCAGACGGTGGAGGGGAAGTGACGGAGAGGAATGCGAGGAGAAATGGAGGGAAGGAATGGGTGGGGGGAGTGGCGGGGAGGAATGGGGGGTTGAAGGGGGGCGTCGGTGGTAATGGACGGGGAAAATGGAAGGAAGGATGAGGGCAAGAATTGAGGATGAAGGTGGCTATGACAACTATCTTCCATTATTTACCTTCACTTCCTACAGTTCCATTTGTCCCCCTCTCGTAATACAACACTCGGATCCATTGGCTTTTCTAGTACCACAAAAATGTGGGCGGGACCTGGAACCTGTCTGACGGGTATAAGAATCGAGGAAATTGCAGAACCCTATTGACCCATACGTGGTAGCTTCTATTTATATCCACCCAAACTCATACATATATATGTCTAGCTTACGCTTGAAACAATCAATTCTCAATTAAGAGTCACGGTAATACAGTCGCGTTCATTTTCTACTCCCAATTGAGAATTCCGGGTTCGAATCTCTGGCGGGACAGACAGCCCGTCCTCATAAACAAAGGCCACAGTCTATTCCATGCACCCGCCAAACCCTGTGTTTATGAATGAAAAACGGTTTACACACAACCCGTCCTCAGACCAAGTCCATTCCATCCAGCAGTCGACCCCAAAGACGCATTCATTAATTTTAACATGCTGTTCATTCAAAGCAGGATTTTTCTCAAATATAAATTAATATTAGTTTATATAACCATAATGTACATATTTAGGCACTGGTTAGGTTAGGTGTTTAAGTTCTGTTGCCGATTATTTGTAGTACGTGGGATATCTTGAGATGATTTCTGGACAGTGTCCCCTGGTCCTCGACCAGGCCTCCACCCCCAGGAAGCAGCCCGTCGCAGCTGTCTAACTCCCAGGTACCTATTTACTGCTAGGTAACAGGGGCATCAGGGTGAAAGAAACATTCTGCCCATTTGTCTCCACCTCCACCGGGGAACGAATCCGAACCGGAATTACGAATCAGAAACGCTGCCCACCCAGTTGTCAGGCGCCCGGGCGAAGCATTTTTCATTTGTTGTAGTTCGAAAAAAATTGTCAGTGAAGCACTTGTTCCGGAAGTGTTCGAAGGATGTGTGTTCCGGAAGGATGTATGCCAAAAAACTTGAAAAGGTCCATATATATATGCAACTGGGCTCGTTTCTGAGCTACGAGATAACACTGAAGGAACTGCGGAGGTGAGGAGAAATAGAGTGGACATGATAACGACATATGAAAGGCGAAGAGTTAAGGGGTGACATGATCGAAGTGTACAAGTGGATGAAAGGGTCTAATAAGGGGAATATTTATAAGGTATTAAATATATCAACACAAAACAGAACACGAAACGATAGATATAAATTGGATAAGGCTTGAGTTACGAAAGATCTGGGTAAATACTAGTTTGGATACAGAGCTGTTTTATTAAAGAGATTACTGGGTAAAATAATAGACGCGGGATCACCTGATTGTTTCAAGTGTAGGTTAGACATATATGAAGTTGAGTGGATATAAATAGAATCTGCCACGTATGGGGCCAACAAATTAGTCTTCTGCAATGTCGTTAATTCGCATGTTCTTATGTTTTAAAAAGAAATTGACAAAAGTATGCATAGAAGCATACTGATAACCCGAAGTTATCGAAGATGCGAATAATGGA